TCAGGCCCCTGTAGTATGTGGGGCCCCTCCGCTGTTTCCACAGTTGGCCTGGGCCATGGCCTGCGCGGCTCTTCACTAAACTCGTTTCTCTTGCGCCGGCAGGTGCTCTCCCCATTTCATGACATATTCCAGGCTGCAATAGCTTCGAAATTCATAGGGTAGTTTGCATAAATACGAGGGCGCCAATATGCACCTCCAAATGCTATAGTCCTTGTTATAGGAGGCCCTAAGACCTTAATTTTGAGAAACAATAGGCCCTTGTGACACCCCTGTCCAATATCCCTATATATCCCATCACCCCGACTTTTTGGGAAACCCCCCCATAGGACCTATTCCCTGCATGGATTGCGTCATGGGCCCTTTGGGCTATCCTTACCGGCCAAGAAAATACTGACAGCCCTGATTTTTTTAAAGGGTCCAGGGTGCCAACGCGCTCCAGTGCCACAGTGGCGCGGCAAGAAAAACCTTAGAAGAGATCATTTCCTACCCTCCCCAGGGGGTATCAAAGCCCATAAGAAGGACATGACTTAAAGAGCCCACGCGGCTGACTCTTTGAGCCTCATACCCCCTATTTAAGGAATATATTTCAAAGCACCTTAAGTATATTCATTCATGACAGCGTAAACCACCAGAAGAAGCCCATAAGGCCCATGGCGGACTGAGGTCCCGCGGCTGGCGCACAGAGCCAGGGCTTTGTCAGCGGTGAAGAAAAAGGATGGGGACTGTGGAGCCTTGGGCTTTGTGGTTGCCACTGCTGTGACCATCACTGTTGTTATTCTTATGGTTGGTACTGCTCTGACTATTGTGATTACCTGCCATTACTACTACCAGGTACCACCCTTTCGACCATGACTACGGTTGCTATTAAGATTTGGGATGAGCTTGCGAGTCTAGGATGCGTGTCTGGCAGCGTAGTATACCGGGTTTACGTTTGTATGATTCGGTCTTAAAGTTTTCCTGCGGATGTGGATGCAAGGCTGTGTGATCAATGGGTGATGGACGCAAAGCAGTTGTTCCGGATGCGCACCGCTGTGCGTGACTAATTCTTCTTGACACTTATGAAACTTATGCCGAAGATTGTCACACTTCGAAAAACGAGCACCATGGGAGTGTTGGATGTCGTTGCAAGTGAGCCCTCGCGCTGTGTGGTCGACGGCTCCGTCTCCAAACAGTGCATCTCCTGGCTCCTGGCTCTTCCCGCCCATTTTTGAGACCCTTTCCAACCCCTTGGCAATCTGTACACCTTGTCAGAATCGGATTCTGTGCGCCATCCCCACAACCCCATCAGAACCGCCACATGCACACACACATACACTGATACTGATAAACATTCCCGTAATATGTTCTGGTTTTTCATTGAGGTTCTTAGGGTTCCAGGGATTGTACATTCCCCGAAGATGTTCTGGTACTACATTGAGTGTATGAAGGAGGTGGCAGGAATGTAGATTCCTCTAAAGTGCAATGGGTACTTCATTTTGGGGGGTGTCAGGGCCTCGTGGTATTCTACATTCCCTTAACATGTGCCGGTATTATATTGAGGGTAATAAGGGACAACCATAAACCCTTACTGCTTGGGAGGATTCTTATCAGGGGGACGGGCTTGTAAAAACTCAGTCTCTAGACATTCTACCTGCTGCTCAGCTCGGAAGGGCCCATGTAGCTACATAGTTTAGGATTCAGGGTTTAGGGTTTAGTGTATATACTTGGGCCCCAAAGTAGCTATATGGGAACTCCTTTGGGCCCTCAGGATATACTGTAAACCTACATAGAGCCTATAGTGATCCATGGAAAGTGGCCGTTGGCGTGGGAGCGGCGCGCGAGCTGATGTGGGACAAGGTGGGTTGAAGCTTCTGGTTTAGGGTTTAGGGTTCTATCTGGGCTCCATCCTAAACCCTAGACGTTAAGCCGTATGCCATAAGCCCATGTAGAATCATCGCTTCGCAGCCTTTTTTGAGTGTCCAGGTAGGGCTTAGGGTTTGATACAGCTCTTAGTAAAATGTCTTTTGTTTTTGCTCTTTGTTTTATTCTTTCTAAGTTGCTGTCATGATGCGGCACTACAAGGATGGCCATACATCTAGAGAAAGGTTGAGCCGTGGGTAGGCTATACATGTATCATGCACATCTTACTAGGGTGTAGGGCTTAGGGTTCAGGATTATCTGGCGAATAAATAGATGACAGCAGGCAGGTAATGTCACCAGTAATCTGAGGGTTGAAAGTGCTGTGACCGAGATTGCTATGAAGTTTTGCTGGAACGCTTGTTTCCTTTCCTTTCCTCACCAGCGGAAGAGTTGTTTGGGGTCAGCATTTGGACCACGCCGAAGCTGTTTCCACGATTCTATAGGTTGCCCCTTACCTGCGGTAATTTAAGGAAAATCAAGGTGAATTCATGTTAACGAAGGGCGAACCTGGCTACTGTTATGGGGCAGTGTCTATCTCCCACGGCGCCGAAGTAGCATACCCGAAAATTACAGGACTATGAAAATCTTCGAAAATCTAAATAAAGAAAGAGATACCCGTCAGATTCTCAGTTTCTTTGTAAAGGCCTGTGAACATTAGCCTCGCGAACGGACCATTACAGGTGCACGCAGTGATCCCTTCCATAGGTTAGTATAGCCCCTTTTATGTATTCCCTAATGGGAAGGCATGTCAATTGGTTATCTGGCATATGGAGACTTTCCACATAAGCTCCTTTATAACGAGTCATAAATCTGTATATGCCATGTCAAGTAAAAGCAAGTCTAGGAAATGAAGGAAATCCTAGTGCCTCGTCACGATTATCCCCTCCCTCCCATAATTGTTTCAGAATCCTCCCCCTAAGTGCCCCTGACGGTTTAAAGGGGGTTACATAGGGATTTAGCCTTGGGTCTAGGGTTTGGATTCGTGAGCTCTATTGAGGCTCCTGTGGCCGTAAGGCACACAGGGATCCCTATTCGACCGCCCAATTTTTGTTGGAACCCTTAATTTCTGCTGCAGCCATTTTGGTACAAGTTACTGAACCCCCACGACTTCCCTGACCATGGCAAGATCCATCTGGCTTGAATTTACCTGGCTTGCGCCTGGGCGGAGGAGAAGGATGCTTGGCCTTTAAAGGAGGTGTTTCATGGTTTGTAACCCTGAGGGTCCAACGACCCAAATAAGAAAATGTTCGGGCCCAACTGCCATTAATACCAGGGTCCTTGGACCCTTAGAGTAGAGGAGGTTTGTGTGAGTCTTTCCTGCTGTGCCGGCGGCGGTTCCGCAGCTTGAGCAAGTGATCCCCTCCCTTCACCTCCACTCTTGGGTCGTTGAGTTATGAGTTTGCCCTTGCCTGAGAATGGAAAATAGAATGGAAACTACTATTAGGGGTATAATATAGGGTTTATACACGGATATTGGAAAAGATCATGGAAACCATTATTAGGACCCTAAACCCTGAGTGCCCACCGATGGAGTCCCAGAGTGTCCCTACAGGGCCCATGGTATATTTTGAAGGCGTGCCCGGAAGCTGAAGTATGAAAGAATGAAAACCACTACATTTTCATAGGGGTTATATAGGAGTATATTGGGGTTTTATTTGGGGTGAAAGAATGAAAGGGATTCTGGACGAGTTTTTTGGTCCGGGAAATTCCCGATATTAGATATGTATTGTTTGTTTTTCTCCGGCTGCCTGTCTGTCTGTGGGCCTGTCTTTCAGTTTCTCTTGTCCGCTTTTTGATATGTTGTCTTCCTTCCTTTGTTATTTATTCTTTCCCTCCCGTGCTTTCGTGTCGTTTTTACTTTTATCCTTCTGTTTCCGCGCAGCCGCACGTCAAAAGTTACGGTCTCCTTGGAGACTAAGGGCGCTCGCCATATGACCTTGCTGTAGTCCAGCTGGCATTTACTGAATTGCTGTTAAGGAGCTTAAATCAAGTTACCATACTGGGTAAATATGGTACGCAATTAATATGGTTTCCCCCTTACAGTAACTTAAGTTCCTTAGCAGCAGCCCAGTTAAGGTCCGGAAATGCACCCACCGCACGTGTGTTGTTGGCTTTTTCCGAGACTTTCCACGGTGTAGGGCATGCTTGTCATCCACATTAAAACTGATATGGTAGTTCCCTGAATAAGGGGGCCCAAATATAGACCCCCAAACGATTATAGTCCTTAACATAGGGAGCCCCCGAAAGGTACTCGTACCCCCTAATTTTGGGAATCTGCAGCGAGTGCTGCAGCTGCAGGATTGGGCTCCCAAGAAAATACACAGCGGTCTCAAGGAGGTAACAAAGGCGCGCTCACGCACCGGTTTTCCTGCACACAACGTGCGATCTCCGATGGCTCAAGTACGGTCGTTACGAACCGCCAAAAGGGGCTCCTTGTGCCGCATAGCTGCGACATCACACATGATCAGCTCAGTTCACCACCTCCCCTCATTGTACAAATGCTCACAGGTCGCAGAATATTGCATTCTCTAGGTTGCCTGGCTGACCAAGGACTCATCTTGCCTGCTGCAACACAGCTCGGCGCCGCAGAGCCTGAAACCGGCTTTTCTGCAAAGTGGCACGTCACTTGCGGAGCTTCCCAGCGACTGGTTGCTGTTAAGGAGCGTAACTTAAGTTACCTATATTGGGGAAGCCCTATCAAATTAAGTACTTTTTCTATACTCAATATGGTAACGTAATATGGTAACTTGCTTCGAGTTCCTTAACATCCACCCAGGCGAATCAGCTTGCAAGAAGAAGTTCACTGACGACAAGGTTTGCAAGACCACGAGCGGCGCAGATTGCACACACATACACCAGGTTCGACGATGGAGACTGGCGGCAACAGTGCTGGTTCTCCGAAACAGGGGGGGACAACCCGTGCACGCCTAAGCCAGTCTCGGGAACATGGACCACGGCCAAAGTTGACTTCAGCCCGGATGAAGCTGGCTTTTGCTTCACCGTTCCTGAAGGCGTTTGCCCCGTACAGCTTCTGGGTCCATGTTCGGTACCCTTTCTACTTTTTCTGGGGTTTGGTTTTAGGGGATAGGCGCAATTGGCGTATGTTTGGCCTCGTGGGGTATCAGAGGATCTGCGTGAAGAGCGGTAGCCCCAACAGTGGGGCTGGTCTTTTCTGCTATTCTGGCAAGCAGACATGTGGGACAAACGGTGGCCCTTCAAATAGCAAGGTGGGACTTTCAAAAGCTAATCTTTACCATGGGGGCTGAAGTTTAGGGGTCTTGGGAATGGGACCCATTCTTAGATTCCAGCTTGAGCTAGAGCTAAACTGACCAGGTGGACCAGACAGTTTGCACCAAGTGGGCAGCTCCAGACAAATTCTGCGTCGTAAGCCTGGCAACTAACAACAACAACCCAAACAACATCCAAGACCTGAGCAACTTTGCTGTTCAGTTCGGCTGCTGCGATGGGAGACTTGGTTGCTCAGCAGGTGTAATCAATCCCATGCCCCTGGTACAAGAGCCGCCCAAGCTTTATTTACTCAATGAGGGCTGAGAGACTTATTGAATATTAGGGCTGGGCCAGGGGGATGACACACCTGAGAGCTCTGTCGGGCATATCAGATCCAAAGTTCCGATCCTATGCGTTATTGGGTTTATATTGGGTTTATACATAGGGGTTATTTTGGGTTTGTGTAGGGGTTATATATGGGTTTACATAGGGGTTATGTTGGGGTTATATAGGGTTTATATGTTTAGCAGGAGAGTTGTCAGCGGCTGAGGAGTGGAGGCGTGGTGGGAGATCCGCACATCCACACTTTGGACGGAAATGAGTTCGACCTCTACGACAAAGGAACCTATTCCGTGTTCCACTACGGCGGTACTGGTGGCCCACCCAGTTAATGATTTTCCAAGATTTTGGGGTGGGTTGGCCGGCGACTTGTTGATGGCATTGCGGATTGTTCCGGTTGTTGATCATTTAGGCATGCGATTTACACTTGAATTTTGATCACGAGGGCGAGCATGCTAGACACACTTGACCCCCCAAACACCCCTAAACCCTAAGCTCTGAATTCCAACTTGAGGCGGCGTGGATTGGCAGCTCTATGCGACTTATGGAGGCCTTTCTCCCTGAACCTTCCTACACATGTCCCAGCAAGCCTCACACATGTCTATCTGAATCCCAGAACCCTAAATAGATAAATACATTTATGTGCTTTTTTATCATATACAATATCGGTTCATATAGATAGCTTACACATTCCTTCAGAGACCCATTGCATAATTCTTGGACTGCCCCACATGGATCACAAGTCCCCTGGGAGAGGTCACTGTGGACTGTCCAGGGCTTGCTCTTGGTGGACAAGTCCAAGGGCCGCTTCCGCCAGGCACTGGAAATGAGGGTGTAGGGTTAGGGTTGGAGTGGCAGAAAATGAGAAAACAATTGGATTAGTGAGATAGGGCTGGAAGGGTCTTGGTTTCTCGGTTGAGGTGAGATCACGAGAGGATATTGGTAGTTTGCAGGGAATGGAGGAATGGATTCCTGTCGTAGTCCCTAGTCTAAGACCCTAAACCCCAATTCCCCAACCTATACGCTGTTCCCTTTCTTCCATGCCTTGGCTTGTTACACCCTACGTTGAGGTTCATTGGACTTTGTAAGTCAACTTATAAGTAGGTTCTAGAAGCTCAGCGATAAGCAGATACTATACTAAGTCCCATGCGCCTGGAAGTAGAGACCCCCTGTAGGCTCTGGAGCTGACGTCAGAGGACTGCCAGTGGCGTAGCAAGACAGGGCAGGAGTCCTGGTCCGTCGTCGAGCAGAATGCATCTTTTCAGTCGCGTAGATAACTTTTGTTAAGGAAGGAAGAAAGGGCATGCTGAGATTATTGTTGTGGATGTTTTTTGGGTGGGGACCGCTACAGGGGTCCGTTTCTCGCAGGGTAGTGCGAAGGAGCTTTCAACCCCCACAGAGTCGGTTCAACTCAACCCCGGGGTTTCCAAAAACAGTGGGCATCACTCGATTATGACGATAGCTAACCATATTATAACTGCCCCCCCCAAAGGGTGCCACTAATTTAATCCCTAAATGTCACTCTTGCTTGCCGGGTGCAGCTGGTCAAGCCAGGCATCACTGTCTTTGCTGGAAGGCGGCGAGTACGTCACTGGCTTTTAGTACATCAACCAAAAGCACATCAACCTTCACATGAACACCCCTCAGGGCAAGAAAGATGTTCTCGTCCTCAACTCGGTGTGCATGAGTCTCAACTTCAGTTTTGGATGTATTGAAAGCCGTGAGTTCTACCGAGAGACAAAAACCCACGGCCCGCTTGCATCAAAAACGTCATCATCGCCCCATTCCAAAATCAAACCCCTCAGCGCGGCATGACGTGCTGTATGGTACCGCAGTTCACGAATTAATTGGAGGTCCATGGGACTTAGTAACTACTTCTGACTGTGCTTACAATCCTACATATAGTCCACTTCAATGGGCTTATAAGTCATAAGGCTTATCCCGAGTTATAAGTAGATTTAAGTTACCATAATGGGTATATGGGGTTTAGGGTTTAGGGTTACCAGAATGGGTATATATAGTAAATAATAGGTTTCCCCCAATATAGTAGGAGGGAAGGTTGCAACCACAGGGGTGTGGCACTTCCCAGGAATGGCGCTATCAACGTGCGGGTGTCCCCGCAGAAAGCCTTCGAGGCCAAGCTCCTGACCGGCCAAATCCAAGCCGGGAATTCCAAAACCCAGGACTAGCTCCGGCAGTTTCGGCTTTTGGGAACCATATAGGGGTTTCCCAAAATTAGGGGTACCTTTTAAGGGGGGTCTTTCGGGGTTATATAAATAGGGGTTTAATTGGGATATATAGGGCTTCCCCAAAATTAGAGGGGTAGCTTTTTGGGCTCCCTATAAAAGGATTATAGTATTTTGCGGTCTATACTGGGGTCCAAATTAGTTTGGGAAATTACCCCGTAGGGTTTGTGTAGAATTTAGAGGCCACAGTCCCCAATATCGTGGTTTAGGGTTTAGGGTTGTAGGTTTTCGGGTTTCTCCGAAGACCAGGACAGCTCGATCTTCCGGAGGAAGATCATAGGATACATAGGGTTTCGGCTCGATGGGTTTAGGGCTACAGGCTAGCAAATAAGACTCGCGCGCCCAGAAAAATCGCATTGTGTGTGGATTCTGTGGCCCATTCTGAACACAAACCCCAAAAGCTCCAAAGACCCAAAAACCCGAGAAAACCCTGAAGCTCTAAACCATAAAACCCTACAACCCAAAAACTCTAAACCCTGAACCCTGAAGACCTATCAAACCCTAAGCTGCAGGAGAGATTCCCAGTGGAGGAGACTTGGGAATCTTTAGGCGGGAGCTTCGGTAT